TTTCAACTGTGGTCTGGTAGGGTACATTTTTTAAAAGGAATATGTCACAAATCAAAATAATGGGTTAGTGATGCTACTTAAAGTACCATTCAAATGGTAAGATATACCCAGAAACCAGAATGCCAACTTTCTTATAAAAGAAGAGAGAGGGTGGTTACATTCCTAAAGTGGACCATGGAGAACAAATGTAGCCACCCTCTAACAGGAAGTCAGATCACAGCAGAAATTTGGAGATTTGAGAAGGCTGAGAGCAATAGAAGGTGTTTTTTTTTTTTTTTTTTAAACCAGATTTTCGTAGCACTTTTTAAACCTAATTTTGCTTTAAAGTACATTTGGCACTTCCTAAATTATGTTAAAGCGGAGTTCTATCCATTTTGACATGTTCTTGGGATCACAATGGATGGACTTTTGTCTTTTTTTTCAGCCAGACTAACTATGTAACAATGCCCACCCCGCAGTACAGTCTGAAATGGAAATTCTATTTTTTTTTTTTTTTTATTATTATTTCTAAATACCTTTTTTTTATTGTATATAGGTTGCTCGCACTTCCAGGCCCAACTGCCTAAGCACTTTTGTCATTTGGCAATTCCCTTGGACTCTTTGGATATTGGTGTCCTCTATCCCAGGAGTCTTCGGGAAGCCTAATAGTGAAGTCTTGCGGTGTCTTGCTCCTTTCCCCAAACGCACTTGACTTCTGGGTTCTCTGTTGATTGGCAGGTTGCCATAACAACGGGGGAGGCAACTTCTGCCGGCATTACTTTGGCAACCTGTAATCAGCAAAGTGCGCTGCATAGTGTCATTACTGCTCAGGGGCAAGATCAGGAGGTGCATTTTAGGTAGCCAGCTGTATGGAATCCCAGAAATAAATAGAAGCGGGCTTCAGATGCCACTGTCCATGATGGCCGCTGCCTGCCTGCCGGGATCGTGTAAGCAATTACAGATTTATAACTAAAAAGAATGAAGACCTCTATTATTACAATATCCTAATTATATAGTAGGAGTACTAAGTATCACGGGGGGTGCTTTTGGAAAAAAAATTGCTTAGGAGACTAGAGCTCCGCTGTAAGCTAGCCAAAGGAATGCAATGCTGGCACCCCGAAATGTCTGCATAAATCCTCAAACTTCACTGGGTGCTGTTTTAGGCGAATTCACTCACTCTTCAATGTTTGCTGGTTTAGGTGTCCGTTTATGAACCAGCGGTAAATGATCGCTGCTCAGTTCTACGGCATTCTCGGAGAACACAGTTCTCCTGTGAATGCCTTTTATGAAGCGTGTAGATCAGTTCTCTGAACGAAGGGAGACCGATCTACAAACGCTGGAAAACGGCTAATTTTACTATAATATCGCAAGATTACAGTAAAAGATCAGTTTACTAAGCAGAGGTAAATTATCGCTGCTTAGTTTGCGGTTCCTCCAATTCTCCAGCTCTGGGCTGGAGAATCTGGAGGGAGAACACAGATCTCCAGTGAAGGGCTGAACATGTTCTCCGCTGATCTCCTGAGTGTCATAAACTGTGAATGACCAGAGAATAGCTGCGATCCTCTGAATGGCAGCTATTCTCTGTGTCATAAACGGACACCTTAGATCTCAGTTGACATGACCTCTCCAGCCTCTCACACCTCCATATTGGCTCATCACAGTACAGAGGCGATACAGAGCAGCAGGATCGGCAAATCAAAGATTCACTTTGTATGTCCCAAGACAACACATCATACATGTGCCGAATGTTCTCTTTCATGGATCTGCAGTGTATCAAGGCAGGAACAGCTGTGGGTTGATTTGAGTGGGTTGTTAAAAACTTGTTAAGACTGGCTTGATTAGTTAATGCTTTTTAATAGGTGTTCATTACTCAGCTGTATCCTGTTATTAAATGGGATGGTGTTGCTAATGTACAGGCCTTGCTACATTTTTCCACTCACTCCTTCTTTGTTACGCAACATATTTATAAGTCAGAGGCACTGCCCACGTAAAAGTATTTTCTTCTAGACTGCTGTAACCTATTTATTGTACATATGAACAATGGCAATCATCATCTCTTTTCATTGTCTTGTCCCAATGTCTTCTAGAGTGTACAAGATTAATTTGGTGGTCATGTATTATATTTTATTTTGTTTCTTGTATTGATATACTTAGGGCATATTACACAGAGCTAGAGTACAGTCAAAATGATCATTCATACCTGTCTCTGGTGCAGAGGAGCTTACAGTCTAACAGAGCCAAAACCTCAGAACTTCCTGGAAGGAGTGAGAACCACTTAGCAGTTGGTAAAACTTAGGGGCTAAAGCTGAACTCCAGAGGAATTTCAGAACTGACCTTACAGTGGGGCTCCTCTATACAGCAAGGGTTAGATGCTCATTTGTGGAATGAAACCGCAGTTTTACTTACCTAATCCCAAGATTCCCCCCAGCAGCCAGTGCTCTCCTCCCTCTCTCTGGGTTGTGGGTAGGCCATTGACATCTTCACTTACATGTAGAACTTCTGGTCCTGCATTGTACATGATGACGTCAGAAGGGCACTGAAGAGAAGCGACTTTGGGCTCACCAGTTGCATGGGGAGGAGGGAGCCTAGAGGAGTGAGAAAAAAGGTCAGTAAAACTCATTTTTTTTTATATATGCATACTGTATACTATTTATTCTTTGCAAAAGAAACACAGACACAAAGATTGTATCAGAATACATACAATATGTTCAAGCAACCCAGTGGTCAAATAAATCACATGGATGATTATATTTAGACTGTCCTAGAATGCACTCGCAGATGTTCTGGTATGCAAATGAATGGAGTACATCCAATACTCATAGTATATCTCCTAGTGCCCAAGAACAATTGGTTGCAGGTGTTTGTGAGATTATTGAAAATACACATTACAGTATGTGCATTTTAAACAGAAAATGAAATAAAGAAATGTGAATAGGAATAAGGGGGGCCTAAATGGATGTTGGAAAGGGAGGGGGGCTGAAATTAAAGATTGTGATGTCACTACCTCTCCATCTTATCCAATCAGAGAATGTTTTGCATTCATTGAGAAAATGCAAAGCTCTCTATGAATGACACCTGTACCAATTGAGTGACCTCCTGTGTTCACCAGGCAGCAGCTTAGCATGGGACCCAGAAATCCGCAGCCATCATTGTAGTAGCAGTGCCATACTACAGCGATTTTCAGCTTTCACAGGGATCTACTAGGTATGACACATGCATTCTTACATTGATCCAAGTTGGAACAATGTAACTATGATCATTAACTATAATCAAACATAAAATTCAGCCTTAAGGCTAGTTCACACTAGCCTTGTGTGCAGGCGGCAGGGAGGCGTTTGGGAAGCGTTTTTACCGCTTCCCAAACGCCTCTGCCAACTCTGCACATTACAGCACATGGTGCTGTTCTAACAGGAGCGTTTGCGTCGCGTTGCGTCGCGAAAAATGACGCCTCTGGTCGAGTCAGGAGGCTTTGAAGCCTCCTATTCTCGTCTATGGTGCCGCTTCAAACGCCCGGCTTTGCGGTGCGGTTGCGACGCGGTAGCGGTAACACCACTCAAATGCATTATAGGCGTTTTGGGGCGTTATTAAAACGCCTAGCAACCGCCGCTAAACCGCGCATGCGGCGTTTGCGGAGCGTTTGCCGAGCGTTAAAAAACGCTCCGCAAACACCGGACCAACGCTTGCCAAACGCTAAGAAGCGTTGGCAAAACATCAGTGTGAACGAAAGACAGGTCTTTGTAAATGCAATTTATATTCATGCTGAGAATATTGCACAATTTTGTTAATCAAATAGTTTTTATTAAGAGTTTCACAAGGCTTACAAACCTAAACCTTTTCTAACCCCACCACCACCACCACCACCAAAAAAAAAAAAATCTCCACCCCCTCTCCTTAACTACGGTGTATCCATACAAATAGTTGGTGGTAAAACTCCACACCAGATGACTATGAGACAGATATAATTATTACATAGGAGTGATGTTTTCCAACGCAATCAAGGCCTTCATACGCACATATTTAGCTTATTGCAGTCTTACTTTAAATGGCTTAATGGATATTATGAAAAAATTCTGAGTAGGATAAACAGTTCCCTGTCATAATCACCTTCTTGCCATGTAAACAGGAGTTCCCAAGTTAAGACTGTGGGAGCCACACACCAATCAGCCATAACATTATGACCACCCACCATGGCCCATCAAGGCATGGGCTCCATTAGACTTCTGAAGGTATGCTGTGGTATCTGGCATTAAAGCCATCCATAGCAGATCCTTTAAGTCCTGTAAGTTGAGAGTTGGGACTACCATGGATTGGACTTGTTTTTCCAGCACATCCCACAGATGCTTGATTGGATTGAGATTTGAAAAATTTGGAGGCCAAGTTAACACCTCAAACTTGTTGTTTTCCTCAAACCATTCTTGAATTCATCAGATCAGGTCACCTTCTTCCATTGCTGCGAGTTCTGATGCTCCTGTGCCCATTGCATTTTTTTTGTCTGGGGATAAAAGTAAAAGAGGGCAACATAAAACTAGTGTGATATTTGACATTGATTGTTTTTGATAAATTAACACATCAATATCTGGTTCTATGGATGTGGTAGCAATTCTCATTGAATTCTCAAGGTGCTCAACAGATATTTTATTCTATTTTTTCTCTTTGTGTGCTTCCTTGAAAATAGTTGCTCACAAATATAGGTGCTGCTGAAAACTGATGACATGAATAAAGCGTGATTATGAAGAGTGGGATATTTTTCTTTGGGAAAATAATAAAAGTCCACTAATAAGTCATTGTCAAGTTTTTCTTCACCCGTATGTGTCCACTAAGTGTAAACACATTTAAAATAAAAAAAAAAAAAATCAACATTTTTAGGTAAGCTTACGATTTTGTCTTGGGCCATATACATAGCCGTCTTAGGACACATGCAGTATGTGGGCCACAGGTTAGACACCTCTGATGTAAACCATTGTTATAGGGTCACAAGATGGAAAGTGTTTTATATCATTATCTATAATCATATATGTTTAGAGCAGGGGTGGGCAACTGTGGCCCTCCAGCTGTTGGTGAACTACAAGTCCCATCATGCCTCTGCCTTTGGGAGTCATGCATGTAACTGTCAGTTTTGCAGTGCCTCATGGGATTTTAGTTCTACAACAGCTGGAGGGCCACAATCTCTGAGGAATGTTTCCCAACACCTTGTTGAATCTTTGCCACAAAGAATTAATGTTCTGAAGGCAAATGGGGGTTCAACCTGGCCCTAGCAAGGTGTACCTAATAAAGTGACCGGTGAGTGTAAGTAGACGTGTCAGTGTATAACAGTTAAATGCCACTATGAAAATTAGGGCCAAAATTAGGATAAGTGGCATTCCTCTGAGGACACAAATGTGTCCACTTTGCTGTCTCAAGACTTGGATGTCACCTGAGGTTTTGCCACAACCAATGGCTAAATCTACCATGTGGTTTGATTTCATCTTTGCCTAAAATATTCACAACCCCCCGTCTGGTTTATTCTTTCCTGTCTCCTCTTACCTGTTATGCAAGGTTGTCCTCAATCCATATACTCATCTGCTCAGTGAATCCAGCAATATCCTGCTTGGATCTGCCAATTCGCTGCCACAGCCAGGGTTTAGAACTGCCAACTTCTTCTCTGACATCTTTGGGAGCCAGCTGCCTCTTCTGGGCCCTGCAACCACCCCTGATGATGTGGCACTGGGTCCACCCATCATGCGCCTACCTGAAAAAAAAAAAGTAGCTTAAGAAAAGGTTCAAAGAGTTAAAGTGCACCTGAAGGGTGAAGATTTGCATTCTCCCTCTGGACCAAAACTAGCAGTATATGTAAAAAGGCTTCACTTAATAGACCTTTGTTGCTTTCAGCCTTATTAACATTTAGTAAAGGCTGATTATCATTTAGTTTGTCTATTTTGTGTAATAATTTTAACTTTTCACCATATCTTTATACATGTTGTTTTATCCGTAAATTTGTACAGAACCACAGGAGGTTATGGAGATATATAAATCAGTCATTATTATAACAACAACTGTGATTTTCCTTGCAACAAAGAAAACCATGTACTGCTTCCAGTGATAAATCGTTTCATTGAACATCACATGATTATCTCAAACAAGTCCTTTATTGTTTTTAATCACTCCTTGAAGTAAGTTTGAATTTACAGTTAATGGCCTCAGACCATTTGCGAAACAACATAAAACACTGGTTATGGCTTACATGTGTTGTTCCTGCCAGAGTTATTTTTGTGCTGTTTTTGCATACATATTTTCAAAAATCATGTCAGGCCTTACAAATATTCTATATTTTTTTGAAAGCAGATACCCTTGAGAATAAAATAGTCATAGTTCCAATGTTTTATGTCACATACAAAATGTCAATAATAAAATAGACTAAAGGTAATTTTAGGGCTCACAAACACCATATACTATCCAGTTTTATGTGAAAATATAAAAAGATGAGGTTGCGTCGAGTAAAAACCCAACATGCCAAGTCCTGAAATCGCACACACTTGGGAAACGGCTACAAACTACTGTACCCTAAATTTTCCATAGATAATGATTTAAAAGCCGCTACAGGTCATCAGTTTATAGTTAGCCATGTGCCACGGACCTAGAATTAATGCTCCAACTGCGTGTGCTTGGTGGTATGTAACATGTGTTCAACAATTGCCGTTTTCCTGTGTAGGCGCCTTCAATGCACATTTACTGTAGGTAGTATATGAAGGTGCACCAGATTCACTGTCAGCAGCAGGTCTTAACATACTGTACAAGTGTGAATGGGCCCATATTGTATTTTAGGCCGTTAGGTCAGAACCGCTCTTGTCCATTGCAGGGTGACTGGTCTTGTATCCACCTCCCTTCTTAGCTTTCTCCAGACAGCCTGCGGTAGGAAGACCTGCTGGGTTGCAAACACTGCTCTCTGCACATGCTATGTTTAGCACAGTGATCATGTCACTGCTACTTTTAAAGGCTAATATCTACATTTGTAAATGTAATTGCCGCACATAAAGTGCTTTCTATCTTTTGTGGCTATAGAAGAAATTATAGTATTTAAATGAAAATATCTGTGCTCGGAGTCTAGCTTCATTGCATGTTGCAGTGCAGTTTTCATTGCACATCAGCACCAGGGTGGATTTGATTTAAATCATGATATAAATCACTAGTGAAAAGACTCGATTTAAATCATAATTTTAAAAGAGCAACTGTCATCTCTGTCCTGCAGCGGATCCTCCTCTGACCCGCTGTTGATTCACCGACAGTCCCATTCACTTTAATGGGACAGCTAGTGATGCGGCAGTGACAACAAGGTGAGGGACGTGGCGGCAGCAGGTGAGTGGATGCCCGCTAACAGGTGCTGCCATGATGGATCTGAAATGACAGGTGATTTTAAATGTAAGGAATCCAACTCATTCTTGTTGGTAGTTTTAATCTTTAATATTTGCAAAATAAATGAAGGTTTCCTTTTTAGAGCAATAAGCAGTCAGGTTAGTAAAAACAGCGCTATCAGAACAGATTTCAGGTTATTCACACATAGCTGGAGAACTACTCATATTCATTTATTTCATGTTTTTTTCTCATGGTTACTGTGAAATTGTGTGAATGCATCAATGCAGTGCATGTTATCTCAGCTTGCAGAGCTTGCATTCATTGAATGAGTTTACCAAAAATGTAAATATTGCAGAATATACAGCCTCATGCTACAGAACTAAGCTCCATTTCATGCTGAATAAACTAAATTATTAATGTATCCTAAATAGTAAACTATCTTTAGATAGATTTTTACTCCAAAAGCATCTTATTATAATAAATTTGATAAAAATAAAAAAAATTTGATATAAATAAAAAGAAAATTGTATTTAAATCACATTTTTTTTTTTTTGCTATTAAATCTGTTTTTAGCCACCCTGGTCAGCACACATTGACATGAGCATTTGTGTGGCTTAATGCATGATTTTGTGTTGACGTTGTTCTGCATTTGATGCATTTTCTTTGACTTCAGCAGAAATGTCATCTGGTAATAAGTCCTAGATTGTAAGCTCCAAGGAGCAGACCTGCACACACCTGTGCAATCAGTGTGCTAGCTGCTCTCAAAACCTGGACCCAGGATTGGAGATTTCATCATGCCCAAATCTCTTAGAAATCTCTAGGCCACAGGTCTTAAAATGGGCTTTACAAACCAAAGAGGAAACTGATAAACCATTAAGGGCTCGTTCACACTAGGCTGTTTTGCCAACGCTTGCCAAACGCCCCTATAGCGTTTGGCAAGCGTTGGTCCGGCGTTTGCGGAGCGTTTTTTAACGCTCGGCAAACGCTCCGCAAACGCCGCATGCGCGGTTTAGCGGCGGTTGCTAGGCGTTTGCCGAGCGTTAATAACGCCCCACAAACGCCTATAATGCAGTTTGAGTGGTGTTACCGCTCCGCAAACGCCCCGCAACCGCGTCGCAACCGCACCGCAAACGCCGGCCGGGCGTTTGCGGAGCGGCACCATAGACGAGAATAGGAGGCTTCAAAGCCTCCTGACTCGTCCAGAGGCGTCCGTTTTGCCGCGACGCGACGCAAACGCTCCCGTTAGAACAGCACTATGTGCTGTAATGTGCAGAATTGGCAGAGGCGTTTGGGAAGCGGTAAAAACGCTTCCCAAACGCCTCTCTGCCGCCTGCATACAAGGCTAGTGTGAACGTAGCCTTAGAGAACTGCCTGGAGCTTCTCAACCTGTATAGTTGAGAATCCTGGGTTATCACCGTGATTATCACCGTGGCAGGATACCGTACTGCCACTATATATACTATATATATATATATATATATATATATATATATATATATATATATATATATATCTCGCCTGGATTGTAAGCTCCAAGGAGCAGGGCCCGTTTTTTTTCCCTCTCGTATTGAACTGTATTGAAGCTGTATTGTCTCCCGTTATATTGTAAAGCACTGAGCACACTGTTGGCGCTGTATAAATCCTGTATAATAATAACTAGAAAAGCTACAATTTCTGGGGAAATTGTGTGAAGTGTTCTTGCCTCCACCAGTAGTCTATAATTGGAGTGGGTGGAGTAACTGCTTTTGTCACTCTGCTGCCTGCTCACACACCTGGGTTCCTATAGCAACTCACTCTACAGCAAGGGGAGAGAAGAGTGGTTAAAAACAAACTGCTCCAACTTGCTCACTTCACTGGCGGTTGCCATCTTCAAACGGTTGTAGTTTAAAAATTATAAATCCTACACTGAAGAGCTTTATATTGTGAGAATCACAAGATCCAGACCTACATTTTGATGCATAGTATGTCTCTGAAATATAAAAAATGAAGCCACATTCGCAGTTTAGATTTTGCCCTTCAAATTTGAGGTGGTTAGAGTGGAGTTTCAATGAATGTCAATGGGCGGCGTGAGTTGCAAACAAATGGTCATATTGTGAAAACTATCAGGACTATGGCTTAGCCGTGGACATTTTTATTGACAGCAGGGATAGCTGAACGTTTTGATATAAGATTTGTGTAGGTGGGCTTGAAAATGAGGGAGTGATGGCAGTTTAGAAATCATGTCCTGATTTTTCAGCTCCCACTCTAGCTTTTGTCAGCTCCCACTCTAGCTTTGAACATTCCGCCATTCATTCCTATGGGACCAATTTCACCACAAAAACGCCGATATTTCGTGAACCATTCGTCGAAACGTTCCACAAAGTAATAGCACACCAATCGGGAACAATCCGCACGTTTTCGGTATATTACTGTCTATGTAGTGTAAAAACTGTGGGAGGAGTTAGGGTGATAAATTTGGCTATAATAATAAGAAAATATATGTGAGATAACAGTAAGTGGTCTTGCCATGCAAGAACACTTAATAATTTGCCTTATGTTAGGAGCAACATGATCACATACCTGAGATGTGTGCTAAAATAACCTTTCCTGAAAGAAACATGAAAGTTGCTAATATGGATTTCTCTTTCTGAAAAAGCTAGTTGCCTGGCTGTCATTCTGAGTCTTGGCTTCAGTATTTGAGTCATTAATCCAAAACAAGTGCACAGATGAACGTTTCTGACTGTTCTTTCTTTCCAGAGCTGCATGCTTGTTCTGGGTGACTGAAATTTGATAAAAACAGAGCATCAACATTATGAGCAGGTAACTATCATTTTCAGAGGAGAGTAACCATGGTGGTCGAATATATATCTCTTAAGAAAGGTTTACTTTAAATTCCATTTACACTGCCTGCACAGCCCCAGCCCAGTGTCCCCTGGCATCCCAGTGAATCCACTCTGTTTTGAAGCATGCAGGGAATGCTGGAGAGCAAAAAACGTACTAGCCATTATAAAGTGGATTTTCTACGCATTTCTAGTGTGTGACTCAATTTCCAAGGTTTTTGCAGGAGGCAGAGGGCTTGGAATCAAGTGACCTTTATAAAGTGGACATCCCCTCCAAGCAAAAGCACATCCAGCCTTGAAGTCCTTGGAAAATATGACATGGTATAGACACGTCTGTCTGTCCAGATTCATATCATAATGTAATCTGTATTGGGGATGCTCTGTTCAAAACCCCCGGGGCAGGTAAGTATACCATGTTTGTTATTAGGAAAACAAATTCCTTTGCAATCACTTTAAATTGTGCTGTCGAGTGTATAAACCCTGATAGAGAGATGGCTGTGATCTAATGATGACATTCACTCCCATTTCCTGCTCTTAGATCCCAATGAACAGCAATAAAGGAACCGCTAGTTAGGGTAAGAATATGTCCATTGTGTCAGTGTAGACCGAAGAGCTGCAGAGTTCAGCACAATCTGCCCAGGATATGTTACCAGTCTGCTCTGTAATACTTTTCAAAGGTTTGTTTGCAGCACACAGCTTTTCTTATTTATATCTGTAAATGGTATGATTCTTTTATTGGTTAAGCTATTTGTAAAGAACTGTAAGCCTGGGTTCACACTTGTGCGGTGCAACATACCACATGTGATTCGCACAGGAACTGAACTGCATTCCTGTGCAAATCACGTGAATTCTGTGCGGTGCGATTTGAGCCATACATTTTGTATGGCTCTAATCGCACCACATTCGCACCAAAAAAAGCTGCAGGACCCTTTTTTTGGTCCACACTAGAATCGGATCGCATGGGTGTTCACACTAGTGATCCCCCCACATGTAAAGGAGATGAACAAATAAAGTCTAGCCTTGTTGGCAGCCATTGTTCCTTGCATGGATACAGTGCAGATGTGAGCAGAGCTGGCCAGGAAAAGGAAGTGCGTTATTTGTGGAGTTACCAGGTGAAAATAAAGAGAAAACTACAGTAGACATTACATCAAAGAACTGGTGAGCTTCAATATATACAATTGTTGCTTTTGGGTTTAGATATGCTTTAAACTTTTTCTTTTTTTTTCAGAAACAGACTTTCTGACACAGCCTTTCTCAACCTTTTTACTTCAAAAGAACCCTTGAAATAGTTTTCAGGTTTCAGAAAGCCCCTACTAAAATTAATTCATGGGGGGGTGTCTGGGGCAAGAATGTTCCTTACATTGGTCAGTGGGAAGAATGACAGCATCAAATGGGAAGTCAATCAGCTATAGCTCAAGGAACCCGTAGCAACCTCTAAAGCAAGGGTGCAAACTGGCAGCCCTCCAGCTGTTGCCAAACTACAAGTCCCATGAGGCATTGCAAGACTGGCAGTTACAAGCATGACTCCCAAAGGCAGAGGCATGATGGGACTTGTAGTTTTGCAGCAGCTGGAGGGCCGCCAGTTTGACACCCATGCTCTAAAGGAACCCTCATTGAGAAAAGCTGTTTTAATGCTTTTTTTTAATCCATGTCCCCTACTCCTTTATTTTTCTATACTTGTGTAATTTTGTATCTTTTGCTAGCAGCAGAAATTGAGGCCAACGCCTGGCGAGAATAAAGACCTATTTCGAGACACCACTAAGACAAATATGTCTATATTAAAAATTGTCAGCCTTTGGTGGTTTTATGTTTTGTCTATACAAACCCCTCGAAAGGTTATCCTGAGAGCCGTTCTCCATAGCACATGCTGAGTCCTAGCCTGGCAAAAACTGCCTGCTGAAATGCCGCATGCTGGTATTTTACTTACTACTGTATTTAGGAGTCAAGTGGTAGAGAGAGAGCCAGTTAGCTAATTTATCAGATTTCTAGAGTACAGATTGGCTGATGTTGGCAGGAAGCCAGACGCTTGATGCACAGAAAGAAATGGAAGTCCTAGAGAAGTGGCTAAATGTTTATTACTAGAATGCCGAATGTGACGTCACTGAACCCATGATGTTTAATGTCATTTTCCAATTCACTCTGAATGTGAAAACAGGCCATTTCTCAATGTTTGACTACTAAGAAAGTTGTCTTTTCTACGAAGAGCACTTCTTATGAAGATGCTTTTGTCCGTTCTATAAAAGGTTTCTGAAGAAGTATTCCAAGGGAAATTAAGACATGCACGTAGTTGCGTGGGCTGTAGTGTTCCTGCTGTTTTAGTTACATATGTACTGAATCTTGATGATTTTCCTGGAACAGAGCGGTGATACTTGAAACAAAAATGCTGTTCATGGCTAGAGAATTAGAGATGGTGTGACTACAACTGGTCTGAGTCATACAAGCAGCCTGCAGGCTTCGTTTAGCAGCCCAGCTGACAGGCCTGTCCTCTCCTAGCACAACAGTGTTCATTATACTGCCGATATTGGCTGACACCATACCCCAGCCACTCTCTGACAGCAATGAGCTGCATTCCAGACACACTGCCCTCTGGTCACCCATCGTCCCCATGATGCACTATGTAGGTCAATAATAATATGATAAAAGTTTATTCCCCACAGCCCTTCTCTCATTCTGGTCTTGTTGGACATGTTGATAATTTAAAGACAGCTAATGTGGATGTATAAATCCAGAATCCAGCTGTACAGAATATTCAGGAGTTATAGAATGAGTAGAGGACATAATAACCTGGCAGTAGAACATACTCACTGTGTAAGGAGGGATGAAGGTACTTTTCATTTTTTGTACTGCTGCCTTACCTTTGATCTGGTCTTTGTGTTGCTCATGAATGTTAAAGTAATACTAAAGGCGCATGTTTTTTTTGGGGTTTTTTTTTAAAAGAGAAAAATGGAATACTTACCTGCTCTGTGTAATGGTTTTGTACAGATTACCCCTATCCTCTTCTTTTTGGGTACCCCATCGGCGGTCCTGGCACCTCTACCCTGCCGAGTGGCTGTGCTCCTGTGAATGTACATTGTCCATTGTTATTGACAGCAGCAGGAGCCAATAGCTTCCACTGCTATGTGAGCCAATGAGGAGAGAGATCCGGGAGAGGTGCTGCTCTCATGCACATCTCTGGAATAAAATGGGGCTCTGGTAGGTATAACAGAGGGCTGGGGAAGGGAGCTGCATCCAGAAGGTTTTTTTTTTTAAGCACAGAATGCATAAATGTAGAAAACTTTCTGCCTTTAGAACCATTTTAACAAAACTTACATACCATACATCATGTATACATACATACTGTACATATATATTTTGTGTGACCATATTACTGTATTTGAAGCCTATGTAAAGGCCTGTCATTATTAAAACAAACCCCTAAAAAACTGATATTTTGGTCATTTTCCTAATTCACTGTTCGGGGATGTGCCAATTTCATTTATTCATGTTAGATGGTTTTTTTAAGATACAAGCCTATGGAAATGCAAGGAGTCAACTGCAGGTCAAGTGCGCCTCCCAATGAATTTTAAATGGATCTTAAACATCTCAACTGATGTCATCCACACAAGCCCAAAGCCTGTCGACACAGACCCTAACACTCTGCTGGGGCACTGTCTTCCCTCTGCTACCCACTGCAGAGTCTCAGGCTTCAGATGTTATAAGACGTTACAAAACGTCCCAAGTATGTGTATAGCGGCGGCTGAGCTCAGTGTTGTATGACAGGGAGAGAGAGCGCACTGCTCATCTAGGGTTTGAACCCAGCTCATTCCAGTTGTGGTGGGGGCACACATCCAATGTACAGTGTGGCCTACCATCTAGGCAGGATGGGGAGGGTTGCTCACACTGGCAGTGTCCCTGGCAGGCATGGCCTTAGAGGTATGACCTTAAAAAAAAAAAAAAAAAGCAAAAAAGCTCCTTTTTCCTAAAGCTACACAGAATTTTTTTTTTTTGCCAGGGCTGCTTGAATGCACGGTAACCTTTATTGGAAAAGTGGCCTAACCCTTTAAAGTCCAACTCTAGGATATTAGCAACAACCCCTACTGTTTAAAAGCAAAAACAAAACAAAAACTATACAAATGCCTATTTTACCTACCTGAAGCTGCATCCATGTGATACTGCTGGCCAAATTTCTGTTTAATTCTCTTCTATTTAATTCATGGGGTCCTTCTTTGGGTGTCCACATCACTGCCCGCTGTTTGTTCTTGTCAGCTGCTTTTTTTCTTATGCCATTGTGTTCGGTTAATAATCCACATCTATACTTATGGTGAGTCAGAGAAATTATTCTAGGTTTATGTACCTACTGGTGTAGCACCTGCTTTTTGATTGTTATGTGGATACCGCCTATTGGTGGAGGCAATATTCCCAGCTGTTCTGTCCTCTCTTATACCCTCCAGAGACAGGAGAACTCTTGGTGGGGTGAGGGGACCAGTGTCCAAAAAGGTAACGAGTGAGAAAAAATTCCTGGTCCCCATAGCAGGAAATTAGATTGGAATTAGATTCGATTATCCGGAAGAACTGAACAGTGTATTCTGATGGCGGGAATTCTCCCCCTTGTTAGAATGCAAAGGCTCAGCAGGGAGGCTTCCCTTATACACCTCAAAATGTGTGGATGGGGGAATTGAGCCCATGAATGATCTATGGGCTGCTTACGGTAAGTGATGCGCAATGCATCACTTACCGTAAGCAGCCCATCAATCATGGAATGGGAGGGGGGGTGATATTCTTTGGTGAATTAAGCAGCATTGTGTTCCAGGGCTATGCAGCTTAATTTCCTATATATTTATTGGACTTTATTTTTATTTTTAGTATTACATCCAGAAGATAAATCAGACACAGATATATTACTGAATTTTCTAAATAAATCTTTACAGCACTGTGTGCATCAATCAGATGTCATAAATCACTGTGCTTAATAAACCAAAAACATATTTGAGATAAAATACATAAAAAAATAATGAATCATATACCACCAGTCTTCAAAAAACAACCCTTTGCTATTCTCTGGTGCTCCTCCACCACCAACACACAGAACTCACCGGATGGATAGGACTACCTCGCTACAGGTCAGTCATAATATGCTTGTTGTATTTACATGCACCATCCACCACATTTTAGGATGGCAGGGCTTCTAGGTTGTTAATGAAATTCAGTTGTTCTTTTTTTTTTTAATTGACTCAGATTTCTATAAAATTTTGTCTTTGTAACAGCAAATCTAAATTAAAATACTTTGAAATCTTAAACAGCAGGTTAGTATTTATTGACTTAAGAACACTGCTGATATATTTATATGGAGCTAAAAAAAATACACGGGGCACCTATTTTTAGCTTCAGCAACCTCCCCATGCATATTATTATGTATCTCTTGAAATAGTTACAGCAAAAATAGAGTATTGTGTATTAACATAAAGCAGCTCAGTTCGTGTCAGATTTTGAACGCCTTTTTTTGTAATTGTTTAGCCTGAGAGATCTGATAAAATGTCAGTTGAAAACGAGACAGTAATTGCATATTTACAGAGTTTGGCTTCAAACAATGTCCCAATACCCTTCTTTCACTTTATTGCAAGTGCAAAAATAGTGTCTAATATTACAATAATGTGGAAATTATCTTGCAGGCAGCAGGATAAACCAAATGAAAGTGGCAATGCTTAACAGCATAATCTCACAAATTGGAGACAATAATGCTTTCCAGTCTAAACAATAAATAGTCGGTCAATAAGTCAGATCTAAACCATACATGAGAACAATGGGTTTGGTTGAAACCTTGCTTTACAGTAATGGCCTAAAGCAGTGTTTCTCAACCAGGGTTCCATGGAACATTAGGGTTCCTTCTGGGGTTGCTAGAGGTTCCTACAGCAATGAACAATGGTGGATTGATCTCCTACCTACACTGAACACCAATGTAGGGGGCAATTTTCTACTATCCATTATTGTAAGAGGTCACTTTTGCATAGATTTTTAGAGAATTTCACCATTTTTAATACCTGCCTTTTTTCTGCAGCTAGTATTAATGTCAAGAATATTGCTGAAAGTAACTTTCTTCAATGTTCTAATCGTGCTGATGTACCATGTGCTGTAGGTAGAGTTCTTCTTAGCAGGGCTTTCCTGAGAACGTGAAAATTATTTCAAGGGTTCCTCGGGTAAAAAAAAGGTTGAGTCTCTAAACCATTGCTTCTCAAAGTTCTGTAGGCTTTGGACCTAAGGTTTCTAAACTACCTGTATTCCCTTCATTTACTTCTTACCCTGCCAAACTCATCTGCTAAATTAGAATGGACTCTTGGCCGTGACTTCTTTCTTTGCCTTTCTTACTGACTGTTATAGCTTTCCTTTGCCTTCTTTCTATACATACTTCAGCCCTGTATTATCCTCCTTAACCACTTGCCTACCGGGCACTTTTACCCCTTTCCCGCCCAGGCAATTTTCAGCTTTCAGTGCTGTCGCACTTTCAGTGACAACTGCACGGTCAAGCAGCACTGTACACAAACAAATATTTTTTTTTTTTTTTTTTTTAGACAGATAGAGCTTTATTTTGGTGGTATTTAATCACCACTGGGTTTTTTATTTTTTGCT